GACATTTAGGCTATTTTTAGAAATGCTTCATGAATATAAATATCATCAGTCATCCGTATTGCTGAGTGAAACGAATGAGGAAAAAAAGTTATGTTGTAAAACTTTCAATTTGTTTTAGTTGCAAACTGCACCGCACGTTATTTAAGGGTATTTTAGTTTCCGATTGACTCACCCTGAGCTGGGATAAGTATGAGTTGCTTCAGGTGGACGCCAAGGAGTGGCACCAAATTAGCTGAGAAATTTTAGAAATACATTTAAAAAATAAATTACAATTATAAACTTTCAATTGCGAAATGTTCCGAGGAGCACCGTTGGAAAATAACAAATTTAAATCAATAATAGACCTATATATTCTTGAGCACTTGCACAACTCGCGTAATTTTCTTTAAGCAATTAACCAAATGAAATCACAAGTTGAATTATTTGTTAACGATTTAATATTTAAAATGGGACAAAAGATCATTATTGTGTATTTTATATTATTTTCAACTGATTGTTATAACTTTATACAATATTCAAATTTATATAAGGCACTGAATGACAAATCATTACAATAGGCTGACACTAGCCTGTTTAAGTAAATCAGTTAAAAAAAATTATGTAACTGTTCGTGGAATTTAACACTGCAAGAAAATGTAAATAAAGCCTTGCAATCAAAAGCTGTAAATATACTACATAAGGCTTTACGTTTATACTGAGTTTAACCTGATATCGAATGCCGGCGAAAAAATGTTCGCATGGGTGTTTTCGGAGTATTGCTCGTGTGAAACGTAACTACGAGCCTGTTTCCCTTTAGAAGGTCCTTCAATTGGTATCGTTTTCCTTAACTAGCCCTCGTACATTTCCATTATTGATTTAAACAAACAAACATAAAAAAGGATTATATATTTTTTTACGGAAAATATTCTTGAGAAATGTGAAAATTAAATCATATAGATGAATATATTAACAGAATATAAAGACAAGTTGAAAAGAAAGATTAATAAATCATACCTAAAATCAAGGAACTAATTTTTCAGAAAAATATGTTTTTATATTAGAAATGAAAGATGTTTTAATGTCATAAATAAATGAGTATATAAAGTATTATATAGACACCTTCCGATTTCCAGTTATTAACAGGTGGAAAATTTATATTATTGGACGTTGGCAGTCTAAAGGATAGGTTAGGTTATGTTAGATGGAGTCTTGCAAAGACCACGATGCCTATCTGCCCAAGTGTCTGAAAAGGACCAGCTTAAAGGCCTTGTATCTAAACACATGAATACACCAGATATTGCATCCTAAATATCTAGTTTAAAAAATCATGCTATTTCTTTCATTCCGATTTCTGAAACAATATCAGATCTTTTAAAGATAATTTAGGAATACAATCAGTTTAAAATCTGGATTCGGGAACTATATTATCTTTTAAAGATAATTCAGGAATAGAATCAGTTTAGAATCTGGATTCGAGAACCATGTTCAAAATATTTTTTAAGTTGCCAGTTAGGATGAAAGAAGCTTCAGAAAATTTAAAGCTATGTATTGGAAAGTTTATATGTAAAGTTTTGAGTTTTTTTTTCAAATTCGAAAGATGTTTTCTTCTAATTATTTTGTTTCTGAAGGACTTTGATTCACCTGAATATTTTTAAATATGGCAGGGTTTGCTCGCGTTGCATAATTCTAGCATATTAGTTTTGTTTCACCGCAGTGCTAAGAATGAAGAACCCCAAAGTTAATTTTCGTCATAATATGTTCTTTTATTTTAAAAAAGAAAAAAAAATGTTAGTAAGACTGCTCATAAAAGTTATGCTGTGCATGGATAAAGTTCTTTTCTGATGACATAGTTCAAATGTAGTTTGAGAAGTTTAGGCAAGAAAATTTCAGCCCCGAAGATGATACCAGCTCTGGAATACCACCTTCTGTAAACAAAGACCTGTTAAAAGAAGCTACTTCTGAAAGTCTTACGTTATACAGCTCATGATGTATCAGACTAAATATTCTGAAACTACAGTATACTATTCTTTGAAGAAGACTGAGTATGTAAGCCGCTACGATGTATGGGTATCTTATATATAAACAGAGCAAAATTTGTTTATTTGAACTTCAACGTGTGAATTTTTGATGGAATACAAAATACAAAAGCTCCGTATTTGAAACTGCTCATTACTGAAGGTGAGAAGTGGATATTGATCACTAATGTTACAAGAAAAAGATTATGGTATAAGGCAAAAGAATCTTCGACAGTGGAGCTGCATCCTCGAAAAATAATGCTTTGTTATGATGGTACTACAAAAGGAATTTTATATTATGAATTGCTGCCGCCAAATCAAACGAATTCAGAAAATGCTGTTTCCAAATGAAAGTTCTAAAAGCAGAAATTCTAGCAAGGTGCTCAAAACTGACCAATCATCGAGGTGTTGTCTTTCATCATGACAATGCCGTTGAATGATAGACAAAGATTTATTGAATTGACTGGGATATTTTGAATCTCTTTCCATATTCGCTAGGCTTGCCTCCTTGGATTTTTCTCTCTTCAAGTCACTTAAATCTTTTCTGAATGGTGTGGCATTTACATCTTTAGAGCGCATTGGTGTTCTAAAGAACAGCGCATTGATAACAGCGCATTGATAACATCTTTACGAATAAACCTGATGACTTTATAAGAAAGTAACTTTCAACGAGAGGAGAGATGGAAAAACATTATAGAATAAAATAATGATTATATGATTCAATGAAATGTTTTATGTGTTTTCCCTGCTTGTTTAGTATTTATCATTAAACACTTTCCGGATGACTAAATATGTATATGTCAACATGTAAGATAAAAAATACGAAAGCAAACTTCTAAATTTAATTCACTATAACCTCTTTTATTTTTTTTATTTCATTTGGAAACTTCATTGCTCTGTTCTAAAAATAGCGTCGTAAATCTAAACTACATCATTCAGATTAATCATGCGATTTTACGTAACCCTTAATGCATATGCCTCTTGACCAATCACCAAATTGCAAACCAAAACTTTTCTCTTCGCGTGCTTCCATCTTGCATAACAACGCACTGAGCTTGTACTAAGATGTAATTTCGCTGGCTTGGTTTCTATCTCAACAATATCAAAAATGTAAATCTTCTGTGGAAAGGCACGACTAGAGTGCCAAGTGATTGTGGCTACAAATATCTATTGGAAATAAAAATGGAATTAAAATTGCCTCGACTGCCAAGTGCTTTAGATATTACCAAGGTAACATTATTAGCTTACTACGCAATCAAAATTCTTCAGTATGGATCTAAACACGCATCGACACTCCTCCGGCTTTTTTTTCCTTGTTCTCCTATTATTACATATATATATGGAATCCCCCTCTTTGATCCCCAAAATCTTTCAAATAGCATTATTTTTTTTATAGAACATAAATAATCAAAGTAGATTTTGAAAAAAAATATTGTTGATTTTACTTCGTTAAAAGCGAGAAAACTCAAACTAAAAAAACTTGAATTATTAGTGCAATAATTTTTATATTAGTTCAGTATTATTTACTATTTATCAAAAAGACGCTTTTTACTGTTTTCATTTGAAAATTATAACTTATTAATTATAAATTATAATATTATAATTATAAATTACACATATTCATTTTATGAATACTTAAAGTCATGATTATAAATATTTTAAGAGTATGCTGTGATTTAGTATAATTAGCTTTGTTGAATATGAAAGTATCGAGATATAAATAATGTGCTTTTATATAGGGGTGCGCATTCAACTTTTTACCTCAAGCGAGAATGTAACCCAGGCATGGCTCAAGCATAAGGACAGGTAAAATCTAGGCTCAGAGCTCCTATGATTTTACCTGTCCTTATGCTTTTTAATACCGCTGTTCTGCATCTTATTTCTTAATTATTCCCCTTCTAATTACTATGCTGCGTAGTATTACCATATCTATTTAATCTTCAAATAATGTTTGTGTAGTAAACATATTATCATTACGGAATTCGAAAAAATAATTTTATTGTTTTTCTGTGGTTATTCTCTGAGAAATGCGCTCTCTACACCTCAGTGAGCCTGAATTTCTTGTTTGTTTTGTGTCTCTAAAATCATTTAGAAGTCAAACTTAAGTTTCAGAAACACGTACACAAAAATTTACTGAAGTTAAAATTATGTTGATTTAGTGAATCATTTCTAGGTTAACTAAAGTAAGTGTGCGTATCGGAAGTTGTTTGAGCGAAGTATACGTTTTCATAAAAGCGAATTTGCTGCCAACCGAAATTAAAACTTCTTTCTCATTAACTCAAGAAACTCTGGGAAAATAGCCCAAACATATTTTTGACTATGTATATTAGATGCAGTTATCAAAAAATATGTTTAATGTAAAAAATCTGTGATGAAGGACAGTGTTAATAAAAACTCAAAATTGTCCATACTTTCTTTTACAGAAAATTTCATATGAAACTTGTGATATTAGCCTAGTTCAGCAAATAGAATTTAAACACCTATGCAGTAGAATGTTTTAAAAATTTAGCAGTTATTTTTTCATATAAATTTCATCTTAAAAGACTGAAAGTTAAATTCATGTATTGAATGTATAAATGTGGAAAATATAAACTCTCATTCTTCCTTAGATGTCTGACTCGAGTTCATGGTGTTAAAATATACAGTTATACAGTTGTGGTGCTTGTTTAATGATGCTAAAAAGTTGTTTGATCAAAGTTATGTAGCAGAACGTTTAATATAATAAATTAGTTTGAGAGCTTTGAAAGGATGTAAGAGTTTAAAGACTCTAAATATTACATTCGCAACATATTCTTGAAAAACGCACAAGCTGACACTTTCCACATTAACACGCTTAAATCACAGCACACAGAAAGACAACCCATTAACCAATTATTTACCCAATTACCAATTATTTTATTAATAAAACGACAAATTATGAGCGAAACGCATATTGTTTTTTTTTTTTGTTAACGTAAAGCGAATTCAAATAACGTGCGGCAATCTCTGAAATTTCAGTTATAGCGTTTATTTTTTCTCGATATCATCCTGTGAGATACTTAAACTGCGGACAGTCGAATTCATCTCGTTACGAATCAAAGATCTGGTGGCAGCTCTGGTTCTGTGCATTCGATTTAGCTTGCACATGAGAACATCCACCATGGACGCGCGGAAATTTTCGGACAAAATGGCATACAGAAACGGATTTATCCCTGAATTCATGTACATAACTAAAGTGGTTGTTATTGTGAGTATAATCGATGAGTTGCTAGTGCCGTCGTATCTAGGAGACCAATTTTGCCACAGTTTACGGGCATGGAATGGCAGATTACAGAATGCAAAGGTTAGGACTACTGATACCAACAAACGAATAACTTTACGACGAGATTTGAGAACATGATTTTTGGCTCCACGGCAAGAAGTGGCGGGATGCAATTCGCCACTTGCACATCTTTGTCTTCTCACAGTCATCGTGTACTGACCATCATGTACTATGATATCAGAAGATCTCAAGTTGTTTCCACTCAAAGTGCGAGATTTGGTGACCTCTTGAAAATCATAAGAACTGCGGCTGGCCATGCTATGGAGGTCTTCAGGTTGACTTGATGAATGAGCGGGCATCCGTGTAGCGATAGTCGCACGGGCTGTAAACGTAGTAGCTCCGTAATGCTTTGACACTTGGTTACTTCGCCAGAGACGAAGGCAAATGGCAAAGTAAAGTAGTGAGATGATGAAAAGAGGAATGACGAAGCATACAATGAAGTTAGCAAGATCATAAGTCTTTGAATCATAAAAAGAACGCTTCAGGATGCAAATCGTTTCCATTTCTCCGGTTACAGATGGAACTTCAGTTGTTCCGTACATGATCAAGCGAGGACTGCAGTATGCGGCACTCACAAGCCATACAGTAGCACTCACAATTCGTAGACGTCGCAGTGTCATTACCTAAGGAAGTAAGCATAGAAAAAATTAGAACTAATGAAATGAAAACAAAATGAGGCTGATAATATGATCATAACCAAGAAATTCTATACAAAATAAACTAAGGTCTGTCATTTTTCATACATAAATTAATGTAACCTTTAGTTTAATTATTTATAGTTTCACGTTTGAATAAGCATAAATGAGTTCTTTTGCAATGGCTATCAAAGTGTAAAATGAGACGAAAAACCGACTATTCTCTTAATATATCTAAACTACGTGTTTTGTGTTTTCTGATAATTTATTTATATTGTACAAATTTAGACCCATTTATATTTCATAATTTTAGCAATAAATAAAATGTGGAATAAAATGCTAGCTTTCACCAAGTGTAGTTAGGCAAATAACTTATTACTCCAAAACATTCATGGATATCATCTTTAATAAAGATACTTATATAAAAGAACATCTGTATAACAGTATGAGTAAAGTACTACTTTTTCTCGAACAAAGTAAGGTAAATAAGTAATTTATATTACTTTGTTCGAAGGAAATTTCTTTTACTCAGCTGTAAAGAGTTTATCATATGTATCATCTGTAAAGATTTTATTGCGCCGGTAAATTTTATAATAAGGGCTATACATTATTAAGGATAGTTGGGACTTTATAATGCGTTTATTAAAATTGAAGTAAAATACCTTGCAATGTTCAGTAGAAACGTTGTTGAACTATGTAGCGACTTTACGCTGAGTCCAAGTGTGTAAATGAAAAAGTCTAGAGAAGGAATAAAGTCCCCCTTTTTATTATCTCAACATAAGAAGGCAGATGGTCCTCTTTTTCGAGCTTACAGAAAAGCCTCCACTTGGGATTTAACTCAAAAATAAGAAAATAATCAACTAATCTAATGCTAAACTAAACTGAACTTAGCTGAAGCTGTACAAACTATCTAACGTAGTCGGCCCTTAGTTAAATTAACCGCAGAATATTAGCAAGCACGTACAATACGGCCGAACGTAGTAAGATTTAGTAGTACAAAGAAGTAGTCTGATGGCAAACACGCGTCGCTGAGGAGTCTTAAGCTCTTCTGCTGAAGTAATTGAAACCTTCCTTACTCTATCAAAATAACTGCTATAAACTTTAAATAACTCCTACAACCTCTTGGAAAAAGAGTTAAAAGGGCTCGAAACTAAAACAATACATCTGATCCAACAGCTCGATATAATAACATACTCTTTTTTCTTAAATAGCGTGAATATTGTATTTTTAGGTAATTATTAGTTGAACAATGGAGTAGTTGTAGTACTGCGTAGATTTATATAGCTATGAGCGGATTTAGATTAAATAACAAAGTAGTCAAAAATTTCTGCGTGCAATGAAGATTTAGATAGAAAATCTCGGTAAAATGTTTTTTTTAATGGCCGGACGCTTTATGTAATCGCCATTAGGTTTGAGCCACTACAAGGGCCGTAAATGTTGTCCATTTCACTATGGAAGTAGCTAATAGGTGGCTACCGTTGCCTTCTATGAAGGGACGGGAAGTTACAGCCATTTCTTCTCCAGGATTCGAAACCGGGCCCATTGCTACGGCAGTCAGTGTTACTAACCATTAAGCCGGATGTACAGCTACGTAGAAAGGTTGTAGAGTACCTTATGTTAATTAACCAGTTATTATGATTTTGGTCTTTACTATAACTTTCCACATTCCTCTCCAAAATGATGCAGATTAGTTGTTTGTGTATTTAAGCTGTGGTTTTTGTACCTTGGGAAAGAGGGTGTTTGTGGCATTGCGCACTACATGGGTAGATTCAGCAGTTAAATGATGTAGTTATTCGGCTTTGAGGTTCTCTCGCCACCTATATTTTAAATCTGACGGACTGGTAAATTTATTGATCCAGCTCATAACTTAATATTTAACTGTGTAGCCTTTGTCTACTGATCAACGTTTAATTTAAATTAACTGTCTTATTTATTTGCATATCCACGAGCTTTAGTTATTGTAGTACAGAGTCATACCTTTGTATTAAAATTTATCTTTAAATAAAAAGGTTGTCTTTTTACCCTTTCTAAGACTGTCGTCCTATCTCAGGCATAGCAATAATTCACCATATGTCCATTAAGGGGTTATAAGATAAAGTAGATGTACTTGATCGTGTATAACCCCATAAGGCTCAATTTAACAAAGTGATTTTAGTTTATGAGACGCAGAAGAATAAATATTTATATGTGTTAAAGTCGTAAATTTTATTAGCTCAGAGTAATATGTATCGATAACAGAGGCATATTTCTTATGCAGATTACCAGCCTGCATTATGAGTATTTTAGGGACAGATATTCACAATCGGGGTTTTCAATGAAATGTATATAAAACTATTTCTACTCCATATAACTGAAGATAAATGAAAAGTTGCATTAGCAAAGATTTTTTCTAAGTTATCCTAGCAATGTAGACACAGAAGAATGTGCCATATGCATACAAAAATTTAAGCTGCAAAGCATAGTGTTAGATATTAACTCCTAGATAAAACCATCACTTTTATTTTTGTAGTTTTACTAAGCTATGAAATAGTTTTGGAGGAAACATTTGAAAAAAATATGTCTTTGAATTTGAAAGAAAAAAGAACTGATTTTACCTTAAATGCATGCGCTCAAAGTAATCTTGTATATGATCAAATTGCCTGAAATGAATCTGATAAAATTTTAAGTGGACAAACGCTTTTTATTTAAGAATAGCGATAAAATGTCATTCATACACACAGTCAAAACTGCTGAGGTATATCTCAGTTTTATTATGAATTGAAACGGCGAAACGTTTCGGAGGAATTTCACTTATAGAGAGACATGTAAAAAATATGTGTACTAAGCAATTAGTAAATGAATTTTAATAAATTTTTAGATGACAAATGATAATGCACACTATTTTCAAACACATCCACAAAACATAAGGTAAATTTACATTTTTGGTCAGAAAACATTTTTAATTGTGATATGGTTTTCCTCACAGAAAAGAATATTTAACACACGTAGAAGTGTGTGGAGTGTGGAAATTTTAAAAAGGGCTTAAAGTATTCGGTATTTCGCTTTCAGAAGAGCAGTTTTCAATTGTTGGACGACTTATGAAGAGAAAAACTGACCTAAACCTCTTGCAGTCAGAAAATGCCAGACATCCCTGTTGGAATTCATGTTTGGGGAGTATATTAGTCAATCCATTCCGTTTACTTATTGCAAATGTGTCATGTAAAGTTATATTCTTATTTTAGGAATAGATATTGTTAATGTAAGACTTACGATAGAGATCTATGCTTAATGTTAAGTGCATTTTAGTTCAAGCACTCTCCGTATTGTCACTCCCCTTGCTTTCCAACAATCCCATTTCTCTACCCAGCAGTTGACTATTGATGTTACTTTTCTTCATGTACGTACTTCAAATCAGTGTACAAAGGCAATCACCTCAGAAATGAAATCTATGTCAGAACCATTTAAAGAGGCTTAATAAGCTGATAAGCACATTTTTCATGTGGACCAAGTATCCCTTTGTTCCGAAGAAGTGCAAATGTAAACAGTCAGACCATTCAGATAATTAGCTTATCCAAAGGGAAGCTGTATATAAGTCAATCGAGAGGCACTTTGCCGTTACTATGCACGAGAAGGCCACCATCTTGATTGTTACGGTGTGAGTGATGATAATGTGTTTGAGGATCATGTCCTATGAACAAACAACGTTACGCTTCAAATGAGGTATATGAGATCCTTAATACTGATCCTGGCATTCATCGGTTTTCCTCCTTCTCCTTGTTGGGTGTTTTGTTATTCAAGTAGAGGTTTCTTACAAGTATCTTTACCTTCCAAATTAGTCGATTATTATCATGGTGTACAACAAAAGGGTGATTAGTTTGAAAAGAGACCATTGCTCTATTTGTTTCTTCTTCAGTCGACAAGTATTTACTCCGTCATCTGCGGAGAAGATGATGGTGCGTCGTTGAAGAACCATAAAACACAGTATTGTTCTATATGTGAGCATAGAACAATACTGGACACCCGGTTTCGCATACAGCTTGAGCTGAAGCATTTGCGAGAACAATCTAGGAGAATCACGTTGCAGAAGCCCGACTTTCATGTTTTGGTTTCTCCTGCGTGCTAGTGAAATAAAGGACGATACACATTTCTTGATGCTGCATACCTAGATCTTTTCCTAATCGTCTCCTTGTATTTACAGTTTCCAAGTACTTATTAATTCTTCTCGAAATTATGCTTTGAGGCTTTGCAATGGCTTCTACCACATATACTTGAGTTTGATTCACTTTTAAACTAACTATATACCTCCAGATTACAGACTCAGGTAAAATGTTTGATCAAGGCTTTGCAGTCATTAACAAAAATATTCAAAATATGTTTTTATTTAAACGATCGTATAATGTATGCATTTTTTTATTTATTGATAGAAAGCACCATCTTCAAAGTAATAAAAAAACTGCTTATTCAGGCATTTGAAGTGTGTAAAATTTGCATAACAATCCCTTTCCTGAAAATATTTACAGAGCTTACATTGCCGTTTCACATAAACAGCACTATACTTCTTAAATACTATTTTGAGCGGTTGCTTAAGCAGGTAAAAAGGATTTCATCAGCCAATCCAGAACACGGGTAAAATATGTTGCAAGCACTGCCCTAATGATATCTAATTTTTATTATTGTATCAATTTCCAATAGCATTAATAAATGAAACATACCATAAATTAACCTACAATGCAATACACAGCAGCTTTGCGAAATCATAGTAACACAACAGGGAAATTTGCAACGGAATAAACGAAATATCGCATTGCATTCATCTATAATGCAGTTCTGCTCATTTTAATGACTTTAATGCTTCGTGTGATGGAAGTCGTTAATCGACGTATCATTAAAAGAGAAGCTGTCTAGCGTAAAACGCTGTAATTACAGGTCACATATCGAGATGAGTTGTTGAGAAATGGAATGACATGAAAATAAAATCAGTCATGCGTTAATGGAAAATGCTGTTTTGT